CCATCTTATATAGTAGCCAGTGGCCATATGTGGCTATTGAGTATTAGGAATACGACTAGTGTCTACGACCATACCACTTTGAATGCATCCGACTTTGTCTGAAATATGACCAGCATGAACGAAAAACCAGTCTCAGTCTCACATACTTTTAGCTAATACATTTTTACATGTAAACAGACATGTGTGGGAGAACGCAGTCACCACAGGCTCAGGCCCCTGCACAGAGAACATGGCCGAGCACATCTCTCCTGGCCCAGAAGGACCTGCTTCACGACGGTCCCAAAACAGATGTGAATCACAGTGCTGGCCTCCTCCTGCAGCAGCAGACCAGATGGGCCACGCTCAGCACCATCATGTGAGATGGCCTGGTGCATGCAAATCATTGCAGGAAGATGTTTGCTCCAACAGAATAAAATGAAACTAGGCCACCTGGAAAACGACACTCTTTTGAATGAGTCTTTTGACACACGCTATACCACAGGAAATACTCATGCTTTCCTGCAAGTCAGCAGATCCTTCTCCTCTACTCTCATCTCCTTTTTTCTCATTCTTTAATTTCAAAAGAGTGTTCATGAAAACAGACTAAAGACGCAAAACTAATAACAGGCCTAGGCTGAAACTGCTATTCACAATAGCAAGCCCCTCCCAAACTCTGGTCCTCTCAGCTTCTTTAATTGTCTCATTATTTTCATAATGTTAACCAGCATCCAGTCATACCCACTCAGACAATGTAAGCTACACGGGGGACAGAAATTTTGTCTCTCTTATTCATTGATGTTCTTGGCCACCTGAAATAATGCCTAATGCATATAGGTGTTGCACACACACAAACACGGGGGCGCACTCATGCAAATGCACTGTTATGGTTTGTGTCTAGTTATCCCTCCAAAGCTTCATGAAGTCATGGGGCAGACTTCTAGAGTCTGTGATTAACTCAATCCATTGGGATTATGGGTGTGAGTGCTACTGCGATTATGAGTGTAAATGCTTCTAGGATTATGGGTACGAGTACTACACCCAGTCCAGGGTATGATGCAATTTAAGGGAGACACACCTCTTCTCTGTTGCCATTGCTGCTGCCACTCCTCCCTTGGCTCTCTGCTCTTTGCTCCTATCATGAAAGGCTGCTCTCTACCAAGTACCACTCTGCTTTGGAGCCAGCCGAGTATGGACTGAAACTTCCAGTAAATGTGAGCTAAATAAACCTTTCCTTCCCTAATTTTGAGTGTCGAGTATTTGTCCCAGCAACAAGAAGCGTAACTGAGACAGGAGCACACACAAAATGACGAAAAAAAACCGAGAAGCTCTGACCCTTGTTACCCTCCATTTCTAAGACATGTACACTTGTGTAGGTTAATTGACAACACGATTAACTAATTTCAGTGACGATCATTTACGCTGATGCTCACCACGACCCTGCAGGGTAGTTCTTCTGAGCATTCAAGATGCTGAGAATGAAGCTTACCCAAGTACTAGGGATTGAAGATGAGATTTGAATTATTGGTTTGCCTCCAAGGGTCTTGTTCTTCCTATTAACTGCCTTACTGTTCTCTCTAAGTGCAAAATATATCCCCCAAAAGCTCAGTATTTTCTTTTTGAGATGAATAAAAAAGGAAAAGAAACAGCTACATTAATGCCTGCGTAAGGTACCGGCGAGCAGTTATGTCCCGGCTTTGGCTCCC